CTTGGTCATTTTGTTTGTTTTAATGACCTCCCCCCCCCCCGAGGTGGCGTAGACCTATGTCTCAGAGACAGGAAGATTTTTTTTTAATTTGAGACTTGATGGGAGATGTCATTCTGTAAATATGTTTCTCTTATTGGTTAATGAATAAAGCAGTGTTGGCCAATAGAAAAGGATGATAGGCGGGACTAGGAGACAAGGAGGAAAGAGGAAGTAGTAAGGAGGAGTCAACATGGAGAGTTCGGGGAGACCAGACCTCCTTACAGAGACCTTACTCCTTACAGACACCAAAAACAACAGCAACAGTAATCCCCGTGTTCGCCCGTCTTGCTGGAGAATTCCAAAGTACAATCACAAAAAGGTGATTCGTCAACATCATTGGGTGCACCCCGACTTTCACAGAACAGACACGGAGAAGGCGGTTTTATATCTGGACCAAACACCTCATTCTGCAGATAAGGAAATGGAGTCTGATCCCAGGGATGTAGAGATTCCTTGTCAGAGTCAGATGCGAGACAGAGATTCCCAGGCTAATTAGAGGAAGGGACAAATGCTGTGTAGGATAAGCACAGAGCCTATGGGTGGGATTTTCAACAATGAGCTAGGTGCCGGGCAGAGATAGGGAGGAGGGGCAGTAACTAAACAGCCCAGACTGGGAATGTGGAGGAACTTGGGGGTTTGACCTGGTAGATTAAGCTAAAGATGCTCCACGAGGCAGATCTCTGTGAGCCAAGGCTATCCTGGCGGAAGCAGTGAGGTCCCAGGCTGGGCAGAACACACAATGAAACAAAAGACTGTCTCAAAAAGGCTCACAAGAATCCGGATCACCGGGGGCACCTGGCCTTGATGCAAACTCGAGACACCACCCACGGTGAATTCCCTCATCTTGAGGCTGGGCTGGCACCAGGCACTTCCCAGAACCACCCTGGGAGCCCAGTGCACGAAGCTACCAGGCTGCCTTGTGTGGAGATGAGAAAGTCACACACAGGTCTGGTGATCGATGGATGCCATGTCAAGACCCAACGGCACGGGTCTGTCATGGGTTGTGAGAAGCAAAGCCTTGCCCAGGTAGAAGGTGCTTCCATTCTGTCCGTCACGCCTCATCAGGCAGATGAGGAGTCTCAGTTCTCAAAGGTGAAGGCCAAGGGCTCAGAAGTGTCACAGAGGGGGGGGGGTCCTTGCCTCCTGAGGGTCTACTGCTTTCTCCTAGCATCCCCCAGAGGCAAGATATTCACACCTGCTGGCAAAGGAAGCAAGCTACACAAACTGGAGAGCTACCTTAGCATCTGAGGAAATCAAGGAGAGGCAAACACAGGTAGGAGCCCAGTGTGATTCCGTCCCTGACCACTGGAGAGGCTGCATTCTGCCCCCTGCCAGTACCACCATTCCTGCATCTCATTGCCCGCCCGGCCCGCTGTATTTTCCTTGGTGCTAGTAGGCCTGCTCAAGAGGCCAGGCCAGGCCAGGCCCTACTTCCTCCTTGGCTCTCCCAGGCTCTTCCTACAGTGACCAGCCAGAGAGAAGCTAAACACAGGGAGAAGTGGCCATCTGCCTCCCCAGCCACCCTCCCTGGTGGGGCAGGTTTGTTCACCAAGGGGTCGGGAGAACCAGACATAAAACCTTCACAGGGACCTTCACGGGAGCGAAGGCTGGTGGGGGAAGGGAGCCCTGTGCCTCAGGTGTGATTCAAATTTTCCCAGGCCTGGGACCCTCTGTGTTTTATACGGTTCATCGGAAGAGAAAGGTGTGCTATCGGACGGTGAGGTGTGGTTTATTTGCACAGTGTTTTCAACATCGGGATGATAAAACACACCCGGCAAGAGCTTCCTATAAATGTTGGTTTTAAACTTTCCACTGTGAAAAGGAAGGGTCTAGAACGACGTCCAGGTTCAACACTGCAGAGCTAGCCGCGAGTGGAAAAGACTGGTGTTATCTACTGCCCTGGCTTCCCAAAAGGCTCAATTCTTCAAACATTTCTAAACGGAAAAAAGATGAAAAACCACCACCAAGGACATGGTTTGTTTCCTCGTGCAGGAGTTGGTGAGGGAGCCGGCATCCATGTTTGAACACAAATGTACTAATAATAGGCCCAGGAGACTTGATCCCCAGGTTAAGACAGGGTTCATTGAAGTCAGACGCCCCAAAGGAAGTTGCAGAAGCATCTGGCTTGGTGACCTGCTCATCTGCAGGACAAATGCTTGTGTGCAATGAGAATATGTTCACCAGGATGCCCCATCCTGCCCTTGTGGACCACCTTGAAGAACTCTTAGCCAAAAGCTCTGAAGCAAAGATAGTAGAGAGCAATTATCAGAAGCCGGACTGGTCTCCGCAATCCTGAGGCCACTGTCTGTCACTCCTTCCTTCCCATCCTTGGAATGACTGAGCTCCATGAAGCCTTGATGGCTCCCAGCCGTGGGATGGCCTGGACGTTAGCTATTCTTGAAGAGCACAAGGCAGAGATTTGAGATTTAGAACCTGCTCCAGCCAGCCAGTGACGGCTGATAATCCATCTGCCTTTCTACAGCCAGTGTAAGGAAAACCTCTGTAGCCTGTGGGCTGGGGAGGCACACTCTAACCGAAACAGAAAAAGGCTAAAAGATATGGGTGGAAGAGACGCGTTAAAAACTACTAAACTCCAACGGTAAAACAATAGACTCCCATTGGCAAACACTTAGTGACCACCAATCTCAATCACCTATCTTCCCAGCATGGGGGGTTTGGGAGGGTGGGGAGGATGGAGGGGAAGGTGTGGAGATCAGAAAGCAGGTCCCTTCCCTGGGAAGCCAGCAGCCAGCGTCAAAGGCACCCAAAACTTTGCAGACACTGTATGCGAATCATTTTTCTAGTCATGGAGCATCAAGGGTTTCAAAGCAGGTACTCAGAGGTTAAGAACACTGCCTCAGAGAGAAACAACACAAGCATCCTGGGAGAAAGTGGAATTTTTGCCCCAGGCAGCGTGGCTCTACCTTGACAAGGGTACAGAGAAGCCTGAAAAGCTCCCCCTCTCTCCTCCACCAGCCACTGCCTGAGGCGGAAGGCAGGCTAAAGGAATGAGGGCCATTAAGGAGGGAATATGGGGAAGAGTGTCAGGTGTTAGAAATGGAAAGAATCGCTATCAAAAATTGTGAAGAGAGAGAGAGAGAGAGAGAGAGAGAGAGAGAGAGAGAGAGTGTGTGTGTGTGTGTGTGTGTGTGTGTGTGTGTGTGTGAATGACCTCGGAGGTGTTCCTCTAGTCTACCTTTACTTTGCGACAGGATCTCTCACTGGCCAGGACCTGACCAAACAGGTTAGGATGGGTGTGCAATGAGGGCTCCTCGTCCTCAACCCTGAGATTACACATACACACCGCCACGACAGGATTGGTTTTTAAAGGTGGACATCCAAATCAGGTCTCGTGTCTGTACGTGAACAGCTCTGCTCGCTGCAGCGCCCCCCCCCCCAAATAATTTTAAGAGACGGAAATACAATTCTATTATCACATAGTCCCTACACGTTTCTACCCCGACGGTAGCTGGGTATGGGGGGAGACGTTCGCCGTTTGTGAAGAATCACAGTGAATAGGGTACAGAGAGCCCTCAGTCTGCACACACATCAGCATTTGATGGCTCCTCGGCCAGCACAGGACAGCATTGCTGGAGCCTGGGCTCCTCAGGCTAAAAGGAAGAGAAATGAATACTTCACCAAACCAGTCTAGCAAGGCGGGGGGGGGGTTTCCTCAGCGGGGGGCAGGTGTTTTCCCAATGTATTCTACAATTCCAGAAACTAGCTGTGGCTTTGTGCACTGGAATATGAAGTCCTAGGCTAAGTCCCTGAAAGGTGAATTTCCTCAGCAAGAAAATTAAAAAAGGTACAAAGGCCATTCGCCATGTGCGATAAAATTGGTAGTTTTAAGCACAGCCATCCTGAGGTTTATCTTTCCCTGAGACACTTAATTCACACTCCCTGAACAACGTCCTGTGAAATAAATATAACTAACTGAATCATATCCCACAAATGATTAAATGATGGGTTACCACCGTTAACGCCGACTATTAAGTTTCAGGCACTCTAGCCAACAGAAATAATGAGCAAATGGATTGCCTCCACTTTGGAAACAGGTGTGTTCCAAACGGCCGTCTCAGAGTCGGTTGCTGGGTTCTTCCTCTACAACCTACGGTCCACACAGTGGCGGCTCACCAAGACAGAACACAGAGGAGGCAGGAAGTGTGCTGAGGTGTCTCTGGATGGCCAAGGTCTCTGTTCTGGGAACTTCAACCCCACACCGGGCATGGCGCCTGTCTGTAGCAAGGCGGGAGGCTGGGAAGAGACCTAGTCGGCTGTCAACAAACAGCATAAGGTGCCAAGGGCCCAGAGTATGGGAGGACACTGGTTCCACCTATCATGATTGCTTTCCTGGCCCCGGGATGGGGGGTGGGCGGTCCTGGTTCTGCAGAGGTCACATGGAAAGCCTGGGCCAATGTTTGCTTAACTCCCCGTAGAGGAAGGCCACGAGAAGGTGAGTTCCTCATGTGGAACTCTGATGGTTTCCTCAGGATGGCGTTACACGGTTCCAACACACACTCACTCCAGTGAGAGAAGAGTCAGTGATTTCGTATTAAACCACAATCCACTTAGAGTACCGCCCTTGCCCCCAACCTTAACACACTACTACTGCATAGCTTTAGATGTACTTATACCACTTAGTATACATTAATCAGTTATGCTTGATATATACAGGCATTCTACATACAATATATAACACACACACACACACACACACACACACGCACGCACGATGACCTCTATTTGTGTCTGGGAAGTCACAGTAAAACAGAAGCTAAGCCATCCATGTCACTGTACGTACAAGTGGCTCCTGCACAGATCTGGCAAACGCATCACTCAGAACCAGAACGGATCAATGATGCCTTATTAGGAGTGAGAAACAAGATGCCGGAGCACACAGACAGACCCTCAGTGCCTCGTGGCACCGGGTGCCCACACCCTTGGACAAACCCCTGGCTTACCGGGACTTCAAAGGTCTCCTGCGTGTCATCCAGCATCTGGATTCTGACGGTCATGAGTTTTCCTGAAGGCGTGGGTGGCGGTTTCTGTCCTCGTTCCAAGGTGCTGATCCCCGAATTCTCTGGGGCCCCCAGGCGCGATGCCGGGGTGGGCTTCTGCTCTATCTCTCCCATGATGGCAGCTTACTTAATATCTGCAGGGAACAAAAAGAGACATGTCAGGAGAAAGGGCTCTGCTAAAGCCACCAAGGTCACTCTTGCAGGTCTCCACCTGCTTTGGGTCCCCACACCAGGTAAGAACCCTCGGTGACCCTCCACACGGGAGACACACACGGCAGGCTCCAGCCCACCTGCCTGAAATGTCACAATGAGGCATGTTTGCACACCGAATGTTATTCTTTTCTAGCTTCACGGTCAGCTCTTAACCGTTCATACGGCAGACTAGGCTGTGTTCGCTCTATCGGTCTCTGTCTCCAATCACCAGTTCCGCTTTCCACGCCTTTAAAGCCGGTGGGGAGAGGCCAACAGGGCCCTGGCTGTCACTAAAATCCACTAATTATCTTGTAGGGACTCGGTCACAAACTAAAGAGGGTGGTCATTCTGCAGAGCAGAGGGCGGGCCACACACAAGGGCCCCAGCTGATGAGCTGAGGACATAAACCCAGGGAGACATGCCAGACTGTGGCTAGGCCTTTAATGACGAGAACTTTGCCGTTCACTTCTTTCTCGCCACCCAACCCTCCAACTACCCCCTTTCCCATTCTAGTTATCGACAAAGGTATTTTTCTAAAAGACAAGCAACCCTCTTCGCTCCCAAGCAGTCCGCCCTCCCTCCGCTCAGCCCCCCCCCTCCTCCCACACTGTCTCAGGGTCTCCTGGCTGAACACCCTTCCATCACTTAAAACATCAGATCAAATGGTACTTCCTGGGCACTGGGGGCCGAGCGTGGATGCTGTGCCCATGGTTTGAGCCCAAGTCACTCGGTACGGCTGAGCCCTTTCCCCTCCCCCATGGCACCAGGAGCACGGGAAGGAGGCGCTGATCTTGAACATTCTCTGTACCTCATACCTACTGAGGCTCAGCCGGCACAAAGCTCAAAATGGCTGCTGAGTGGCTGGCAGTCACTGGGGCAACTCGAACTCGCTAGCTGCAGAGTCTGTCACCAAAGCACAGGACTGAGATGTCAATTCAAGAGCTAAGGGGAGGGTCTCTGTGCAGGGAGAGGGGGGATCTGTCAGTCTGGCTGCCAACCTTGGAACACACAGACGGGAAAGACATTCCAGGAGACTGGACGGCGCTTGGTGGGGGCCGAGGATGGCGTGGGAAGAGCGGGCCGCTGGGAAAACACTTGTCAGGTTCACGCCCAGCACTGGGGAGGCAGAGCTGAGGGGCCCTCGGGGCCAAAAACAAGCAGATGAGTGAACAAAAACAAGGTGGAGGACAACTGAGGACACCCCACACGGGCCCGGGGCCTTCATACATGTACATTCCTACACGCATGAGCACACATACAGAGGAGGACCTGCTGGAGGAGGAAAGGGAGGGAGGGGGAAGGAGAAAGGGGAAGGGGGAGGGGGAGGGGGAGAGGAGGGGGAGGGGAAATGAGGGGGAGGGGGGAGGGGAAATGGGGGAGGGGAGGGAGGGGAAATGGGGGGGGGGAGTGGGAGGGGAAATGGGGGAGGGGAGGGAGGGGAAATGGGGGAGGGGAGGGAGGGGAAGGGAGGGGGAGGAGGAGGGAGGGGAAGGGAGGGAGAGGGAGGGAAGAGACTGCAACATGAAGGATTGTGTGACTCAAGAGTTAATCTTTGGCAGCAGGCTAAAATGAATGGAATGCCTGGCTGGGAACAGCCCTTACCCAGCAAGCAGCACTGAGCCACAGTGAAGCGACTTCAGTGCCGGAAGGTGACATGACATGGGGATATGGGGAGGGAGGCGGGGAGGGAGGCCGGGAGGAAGGCAGGAGTCCAACCTCAAAGCAACTGCAGCGGTGCCCACACGACGTCACAGCTTGGACAGAGAGATGGAAACACAAAGCCTGCTTCTGTGGACCAAGTAGCCCAGGGTTGGGAGGGATTGGGAGAACGGGTGAGCTCGTCGGAAAAAGTGAAGTCAGGGCCCGAGCGGGCAGAGGATCGGCAGGGCCTGTCCGTTGTGGAGGTGGGGAAGGGCAGGGCTCTGGGCTCGGAGGCCATCTTACTGCGTGTATGAGTTAGGGTTCTACTGCTGCGATGAAACACGGGGACCAAAAAGCAAGATGGGCAGGACAGGGCTGATTAGGCTGATGTTCCAGCATTGCTGTTTACAACTGAAGAAGTCAGGGCAGGGACTCACACAGGGCAGGACCCCAGAGGCAGGAGCTGGTCCACAGGCCATGGAGGGGGCTGCTTGCTGGCTTGCTCCCCATATCCTCATCAACCTCACCTTCTTATAGAACCCAGGACTAACAGCCCAGGGATGGCCCCACCCACCATGGATCAACTAAAGGAGAAAGCGCCTTACATTCCTCAGCCGAGGCTCCTTCCTCTCTGATGACTCTAGCTTGTGTCAAGTTGACACACTAAACAAACTAGCCAGTGCAGTGCAGAAGTAACACTCACGGGTAAGAACAGAGCGGATGAATATGGAACCCCAAAGCAAAAGACTAACTGTGTGTTCCATGGGGAAGGTCGACGGAGGAAGACGGAGGACAAGGAATCAGAAAGAATGGATACAGAGACACTGAGTGACAGAGACAGCCAGGAAGGGGAATCACAGAGTGGCAGGTAGGGACTGGGGCTGCAGCTGACGCCTGGGACAAGCTACACTCCAGCTCTGAGCCTTGGGACAGCCAGCTGGCTTGTAAGCCTCCTTGTAGAAGGTTCCCTGACTAGCTCACTCTGCTCCTCCCTCTCCTGGTTTTTGTTTTGTTTTTTAGTTTTGTTTGTTTTTTTGTTTTTCGTGATAGGATTTCTCCTATCCTGGAGTTCCCGTCCTGGAACTAGCTCTTGTAGACCAGGCTGGCCTCGAACTCACAGAGATCCGCCTGCCTCTGCCTCCCGAGTGCTGGGATTGAAGTGCTCCCTCTCCTGTTGAGACAAGTCCCCACGAAGTCTCCCGGGAACTACCTCATGGAACTCTTGTCTCTTCGAGGTAAAATCCCTCAGCATCTCAAATACACACAGTGGTCCAAAGACAGCGAGTGTGGAGCCCCGCCCACAATCCAACCAGAGAGGGACAGGAACACATTTTAGGAAGTGCCTTGCCACCACTAGCTTCTCCCAGCCCCCAGCCTCCCACACTGAACCATGTGAAGGCTGGGTCCCAGGACAGGACTGTCAGCTAAGGAGCAGCTAGGAGGACCTGCCCCCTCCTTTCTACTGGAAACACTGTTACCTGCCGTCTGTCTAACCTCTGCCACAAGGCTGGGTTGTGCAGTGTGGGCTCTAGAACTCACCCCCACGTACTGAGAGACAAGACTGGACGGTGCCTTCTGTCGAGTGGGAGACAGGACACCCACACCCAAGGGTGCTCAGTAGTCAGCTGTGGGTGCTGAGGTATTCACCGAAGTCAACGGGGCTCAAGACCCTCTCCTAGACCGTGGGAAACTACTTCCACAGCTGTGTTCTCATTTGAGGTCTTGTGGGTAAAAATAATACACCCTTCAGGGCAGGCCACCCTTGCAGTCAAGTGAATCTTCCCATTCCCAGGCTTGTGTGTGTGTGTCTGTGTGTCTGTCTGTCTGTGTGTGTGTGTCGTCTGTCTGTGTGTCGTCTGTCTGTGCGCATGCGTCTGTGTGTTTTACTGTGTGCTGAGCCCCAGCTGGAGAGCTGATGCTAGGCAGGAAGGGAGGGGCCTTTCCCCCACCGAACCAAGGTGCTGGAGTTGGAGCCCTACCCGCCCAGCCATCCCATCCCCCCACACAGGTCGTTTGTCCTGTCTCCTGAGATGAATGTCCACCTTCATTCCCGAGACCCTCGGGTGTATGTGCACTCTTCCAGCACCCAGAACCTAGATCTCGCCCTTCTGTGATTAACAGGCCTAGTATCTGAACTTCCTTTCTCCGTAGCCCTCAGATGACACGGTTCCTGTACTGCTGTTGAGTACTGCCAATCCCCAAAGGATGTTACACTTGCTCTGTTTACACTAGCATGAGGACAGATGCTGGACACAGAAAGCTCTGATGAGGTCACATATAAACCCAGTCACAAGCCCAGCACAGAAAACACCTCAAGTGCCTGACATCCGAACTGAGAAGCCCACAGTCCTACGGTGCTGTCTTCCGGGGAACAGGCCTAACCAAACCTGTGCACACATTAGCCCAGGCTCCGTTGTCTCTGCTGATTTGCCCGGTGGCCTGGATGCCCCGAGCGACCAACAAGGAGAGGTCAAGTTACCAGTACTGTAGCATCATTCCACACCTGAAAGTTGGGAGCTTACAAAGCTACTTTGCTCCTTGCATCTCCTTGAAATGTTACTTCAGCTGAGTAAAGGAACAAAAAGTTTATCTGGCAGAGAAACACTATCTGTGGCATCACAATATTCCTGCTTAAAGAGTTCCTCTTGGAACTTACCCAAAAGCAATAAGGAGCTCAACATAAAATGCACACTCCTTCCCTGAGACTCAAAGACACCTGGACTCCCAAGATGCAAAATGCCTGGCAAGTTCTGTTCCAGCTGCGATGGAAGGCCTGGTTCTCCGAAACAGACAGAATACCCCTGGCTACAAACCAGAACTGATGTTCTCAGAATGACGGGGACAGATGTGCAGAACAGCTTCTCTGGGCACAGGTAGGATGAAGAGAGGAACCCCCCAAGAAAGCCATATGGAGAGGGAGAAGTCCGATACTGAGGCCAGGGGAAGTCAGAGACCGCAGGATAAACACTGCCAGGCTTCACAAGTGTTTCTGTGACACACAGCGAAGTCTTAAGAACCCCACCAGCAGAGGCATAGCCCTGACGGTCAACAAATAGCTAGATGATAAAACAAACAACAGACAACCAACCAAGATGTGCCCAGGTAAGGTACGGGCAGAGGGAAGCGAGCCATGGGCAGGGCACATGTGCAACTCCAGCTCTTGGGGGACAAAAGCAAGAGCAAGCACAGGAAAGTTTGAAGCCAGCCTAGGCTACATAGCGAGATACGGTGCTTCAAAATGGCAAACTAATAATAATAATAATAATAAAGCAGCCATAAGAAAT